GGTCTGTTTGCTTTGCTTCTCTGTCGGGGGGTGCCATGCCCGTTCCACAACGACCCCCCCCCTCTTCCCATTCCCTATATTTCTTCCGGTTCTGCCCCCGCCATTTCTTCCGCTGCATCTGGACTGAAATGTGAGCCAAATACGGTCATAATGACCGTACTCCGACTCTTAGGTACTCTTGCGCCCGCTCTTCCGCCTTTGGAATCATTAGTGTCCACGAAAGGAAGGATGAGCGAATGAATCCGGTCAACAACTTGTCCGTCTCGATCTCCGATCCCAACCGTGCGACAGAGCCCTGTCTTCTCTTCGTCTTCTTCTTCTCATGTTTCCTTTTTCGTCCACCGGACATGAGATGGGGATCCTCATCACTTTCCTCTTTTGTCTACCGCCTTCCCCCCTCTGACATCCCCTGGCAATGTTTCTGGTAAGGTCGCATGAACCTGGCCATTTTTACGACTAGGATCGTGACGTGAGCTCTTCCCCCCTCCACCTTGTTCCTGCTTGCTCCTTTTCCCGTCGTCGTCTCTACCATCTCCATCTCCACATGCTCCTCATCGTTGCATCGGTCGCCATCTCCGATCCCGACTTGCCTGCCAGATGGCAGGGCAAGAGAGCTCCCTGATCCTCCCCTTACCCATTTGCCCCCATCTCTTTCTTCCTTTTTCTTTCCCTCACGTATTTGTTTCTTGTCGTTTGCTCATTCTCTTCCCCCCGGTGAGCTGCGTGCACCTCAACATGTAGATCCCCTCCTTGCCGTCTTCCTCCGAAGAACGTACGGTCATTATGACCGTATTTGGCTCACATTTCAGTCCAGATGCAGCGAAAATAACCCATACGTTGTATTCGAGGGAAGAAGGTACCTCTCTCCCTTCCCTCCTCCTCTCTCCCTCTTTTCTTCCCTCCCTCCCTCCGTCCGCTCGTCCCTCCCTCCTCTTCTCTCTCTCCCCTTCTTCTTCTTCTCTCTCTCCCCTTCTTCTTCTTCCTCCTCCTCCTCCTCCTCCTCCTCCTTTTTCTTCTTCTTCTTCATTTTTCATGTCATGGCCGTCGTCTTCGCTCGCCACGTGGCTTCACCTTCCCTGACGGAGAGAGGAAGGGAAGTATCCTCCTCCTTTCCCATCTGCTTTCGTCTTCGTGCTGCTTCTTCGGGCTTCTCCTTCTCTACTCTTTTTTTTTTTTTTTTTTCCTTTCTTCTCTCTTGCTTTTTGTCATCTTATAAAATTGAACTGATTGGCTTCTTCCCCCCCCCCCCCCCCCCCTCTTCAATGCTAATGCTCTCGCCCTCGACAAGCGAGAGGCCGCGTGCTCGATTCACGCCGGGGGATTGTACCTTTTTCGGCTTCGTGGGTGAAACTTGCATGGTATGGCCGCCGCTCATGTTAGGATTAGTTCTTCTGCGTCCTTCTTCTTTCTTTCTTTCCTCTCTCTTCTCTTCCCTTCCTTCTTTCCTCTCTTTTCTCTTCCCTTCCTTCTTTCCTCCTCTCTTCTCTTCCCTTCTTCTTTTCTCTCTCTCTTCTCCTACCTTCTTCTTTTCTCTCTCTGCTCTTGCTTGCGTGGATGGTAAGGTGGATGCGATAAGGTGTTTGCCCCTTGAGCAGTTCTGGAGCGCAGCCAGGCGAAACGCGTCGAGGAATGTGCGCGCGTTTGCGAGCTTGTTATGTCTGTGCAGGTGTGCTGTGAAGCCCTTTTTTTTTTTTTTTTTTTTGAAGCATAGACGCTGATCGATTGGCCTCGCCTATCAAATTTCAAGTTGTTGTTCTTCTTCTTTCTTCTTTCTTCCCTCTTCTCAGAAGGTTGGGAGGATTGGCCTCGCTTTTCAAATTTCAAATTCTTCTTCTTGGATCGGTGCGGACGGGTCGGCGGGGAAGAATGAGTCCCCGTGCTGGGGTGGGGTGGGGTTTAAGTGCTCATCTTGGGGCTTGAATTTCACCCCAGTCCACTTAGCCGTTTGGTTGAGTGTTTACCTCTTAACGTGGAGGTCGCGTGTTCGATCCTTGGATCGGTGCGGACGGACAGATTGTTGTCTGGAGTGAGAATGCAATTCGTCGTCTTTCTTCTCTTTTCTCAGAAGGTTGGGAGGATTGTCGGCGGGCCGCAAGGCAGGGTCATGTGGGAAGCCCCCTGAGGATGCTCGGAGCGCAACCGATCGAAACGCGTCGGGGAATGTGCGCGTGAGCTGAGATTAGTACGCGCTGCTATGTATGGAAGAACTATCGAAGCGTGAACGAAAGGCAGTTGGCCCCTGTTTTAACTATTCTCTCTTCTCATAGCTGCTTCTTCTTTCTTCTCTCTTCTCATAGCTGCTTCTTCTTTCTTCTCTCTTCTCATAGCTGCTTCTTCTTTCTTCTCTCTTCTCTTAGCTGCTTCTTCTTTCTTCTCTCTTCTCATAGCTGCTGCTTCTTTCTTCTCTCTTCTCA